ACACTAAAATAGTTTAGAGGGGCTTTAAAACATTTTGTGTGTGTGTGGGAGGGGGGGGGCTCCAGCCCCCCTAAAATAGGCCTAGTGACGGCACCGCTACACACACACTTGACTTCAAAACAAAACTTCAATCAACAGTTCAGGACCAGCTGGCATGAAGGGGAAGCAAAAAGAAACATGCAAAGCTTTCCAGGAACACCAACAGTGTCAGGAGACTGAAACACCTCTCTGACCTTGTTGACTAGGTTTTCTGATGGCGAGAGCACCCTCTCCTTTGCTTTCCTCGTTTCCTTCCTAAGCACGGAAGGTCGCAAGTTTACAAAATACCAACACATCGTGCTGTTGCCGTAAAACCAGTTTTCTGCCCCTGTCAGTAAATCTGACTCCTTGTCACTTTTTCAATTCTTACAATTGGTCAAAATGTCAAGAGTTTCCCTGTTTACAATTACCCACTAACAGTTTTATTAAGGTAGGACCAACATTTTGGTTTTCCATCACCGACGTACGAAAATATCAATTTGATTTTTCACTCAAAATAATTTGTGCATAAGGGATAAACACAGTTATAAAACTTGGTCTACATTTAATCAACATTCTAGAGAAATCCTGCTTTTGTAAACTTTCTTAATGACCTGTTTTGTGCTGTTTGAGGCCAGCAGCTTATTTCCTACAATGCACTGGGTTCTTGCCTTAAGGGCAACAATGTAAAGCAGTTTTAGCACTTGTGCACAACAAAGTCAGTGGACTGACTAGATTGACAAGATTGGTTAAATGTAGTAGAGGTGGTGACTTTAAGTTCCAGTTTTATGTCAAGACCCAATATATAGTCAACACAGTATATTTTACCATGCAGTGCATGATACACGATGAAGCTCATTAATGGTAGGTGAAATCCTGCAGCAWGTAACAGAGAAAGTATCATCTTTTACTTTTTTACAGTTATTTTGTTGAGCTGAAACATAAAATTTACATTTACAAATGACTTGAAATCTATTTTTGTATTAAGTAAAAAATTTTTTTAATTCATTTTATTTGTGTGTGTGGAAGGGGGACCTCATTGGTGGGCCAGATGGAAGTCACCTGCGGGCCAGRTGTGGCCCAYGAGCCACCARTTGAATAGCCCTATAGTTTTAGAGTGGTTTCAAAGAAAAACGTTTTCTTTCATGCTTTAAGAATTTCAAACTAAAGGGCAAATGCTTCCACTTCTTAATTCAGATTATTTCTAATGTCTAAATTTAAGCCCGCAAGAGCTTTTTTTTATACACTCACCATTTTATAAAAGACAAAAATAGAAGGACTGATCAAACCGGTTCATCCCAGGTGCATGCCTCACCCTTTAGTCAAGATTTGTGTTTCTTCAGAACCTTTAGTCTGATTTTTTTTTTTTGTCACTCTGAAGTCAACAAGTTAAAACCTGCTTGTGAAAGATGTCCCAACAACAGCTCATGTGTTTACATTCAGGTTGGTCATTACCTGTTTTAAATCTGTCATGTGATGAAAGAAAATTTATTTTATCTTTCCAAAACAGGTATAGGCCTAAATCACTTCCACTTTACCTGGAATAAATCTTAATAAATGCCAGTGTGTGGGAAGTGATGTGTTGTTCTCATCAGAGCAGGTATGACGTAACAAATTGTGTGCAACTCCCTGGATTTTTATGTGTTTATCTATTTTTGACTTTTTAATTGAACTGAAACTATATTACCTCTTCTAGAGATKAGTTAAAACATTTAAGGGTGTTTTGGAGATCCCATAATCCCTTTCATAAAATGAAAATAAATAAATAAATCTGCGCTCCAACTATTTGGATCATCCATCCCCCTTCAGCGCAGTTTCAGCAGGAAGAAGCGCCAAAAATCCAGTGCGTTAAAAATGCGCCTTTTGTTAAAGTCCAGGGAATCCGTGGGAGGCTGGCAGTCACGCTGCGCGCTCTGTGATTGGGACATGAATAATGCATGCAGGTGGGAGGACAGCCAGTTTCGGGTTTGACTGCAGTCGGCTGCGGTGCGTCACGCTTGGGAATCGAAGGAAGAGGACATGGTGAGGGACGGTTGTCCCCGCAGCCACCAAAAATCAGGTAAASCAGGATTTATTTCATTTGAGCTGCTCTCGTCGTGGTTAACATTTTGTCAGTTTTAATCTGTTTGCTGTTTGTTTAACTTGGCTCTTYTCACGCGTCCCTGTCTGCCATTTTACGCACAATCAAAGCGCAGAGATTTTCTAACCGGCGCAGTTTACCTTTCAATCAGGAAATTAAAGCAGCTGAATTTGTGTTAAAGAAAGACAAATATGACCTAAATAAAGTTTACAAAAAATTCTAAAGGAAAACTTTATTCTGACACTAATATGTTTTTTTATAAGCTTTTAAGCAGTGCAGAAATTATAGATCATAAACATTTATTACACAACTCTTTTTTGTTGTGTTTGTGTCCAGCCGGGTTAATGTGTTTCCACATGTGTGCGCCATCATCTCTGTGCAGGATATTTAGTCAAGGACCACATGGACCCCTCAGGTTCTTGTTGAGTCCTGGAGCCAGACCAGTTAATCTTACATTTTTTGTGTTGGAGGAATAAAAATCTCTGCCTGGCACCAAGATCAACCCGCCGGTGACCTGTCCTCACCTGGATTTGTTTGTCTTCTTGTTGCCCGGAGTGTGTGTTGGGAATAGGCTCCCCCTGTGTGAAGCACTCTGCTCCCTGTGTGATTATTTACTCCCTCTGATGTGTGCAAACACATGGTGCTCTGTTGTCCTTGGCTGTAATCCTCCACTCACTGTATCATTCTATCTGCTGGGATTCTCTTCTTTTTCCCCCTCCTTTTAATAAAAACTTTAATTAAGTCACAAAAGTCACAACAGTGAAGGAAACTGGGTTCAGTCTGGTACAAAAAACAAGAGTTGACAGAGCTCAGAGGCCTCAGGATTAACTGAATCCACATTTGACCTCCCCCAACTTTTTTCCTACTTATTTTTAATAAGAATTAAAGGGCATTGATCAGATCCGGATTAAAGACCCCCTGATGAGATTCTCCAGATGGTCTAATTCTAAATGAAAGATGTCTTATCTTGTCTACAAAATATATTGAATGCTTTGCCTGTGAGTAAAGGGGTGTAATGCAAAATCAACTCTTTTTTTAGCTTTATATCATGTTTTAATGTCATTCCCTCATCAAAAACATGCCCTTTGACTCATTCATGCACGTTTGAGAAATCCTTGAATCTCCTGTGGAGTCGTGTGGAGCTGCCTAAACGCTTAGCTGGTACAAAGCACCGCCTATTTACACAAAGCTCCTCCCAGGAGTTCAGTCTGCAGTTGCTCTCCAGCCCAACAGAGCACCCCTCCCCTGAAGCATTGTTTGTAAACACGCTGAAGTGGGAGTGCCCGAAACGGTAGTTGGTGTAAATTATAAATCCAGATCTTAGTTGTCAGTTCTGTCGCAAATAGTTTGGAAAACATCCTTGAAAATTAAGAAAATTGAACGGCTTTAAAAAAATATGTCCCACCCACCCCCAATTTGAACCCCTAAAAGCAAGTTTGACAGTGTAAGGTACTATGGTAAACTTAGATTTATTTGCCCCCGCGTGCGAGTTGTATGGATTTTTGGCAAAATTTGCGGATTTTTTAGGCTTTTTCTACAGGTAAACGTCAGAAGAGGTTGACATGTATGGGACAACAAAATACAGACTTGTTGTTATTGAGTTTGTCAACACGAACAGCTACCTGAGAGGCACTGCTAGCCCCTCCCCCGTCAGAGTGTCAGATCAGGACAAGTCAGTGCAACGTCAATCAAATGAAAGAGACGGTGGGGCGTTTGCTGCATTGGGGTGGGGGTGTTATGCGTAGAGTAGTTTATTTTTCCTGCAATACTTCATCATAGTTTTTTAAGACAAAGCTAATTGAAAGAGGCACTGAGTAGAGTTACAACCAGGGATTACAAATGATTACTTTTTTCTTCTGCAGTTTGGTGCCACCTCCAGCAGATGGCGCTCTAGGCGACCGCCTAGTTCGCCTATGCCAAAAGCCGGCTCTGCAAACAGAATATAAAGAAATCTACACAGCACCAGGAGAGACTAAATTAAACTTTTCTGCACTCCTAGAGACCCCACCCCACGCAACAAAATGTAAGCTATTTAACGGCTAAAAAAAGTGGATTTTTGCATGATATGTCCCCTTTAATAAAAAGACTGCAAGCCATGGAGATCTCTCAAACTGATTTTAGACCATTTGTCCAAAAACTTGAATCTCATCAGATATCTTCATAAAACCTGTTTTGCATGTAAACTCATCATTCACCAGCTGCTGCAGCGCAAATTCTTCCTTGTGTGCAAACCCTCATTTTAAGGCCTCGTCTTCTCCTTCCCAAGAGGGAGAGAGGCACGGTTCGAAACAGATTTATCTCATTAATCAACAGATCACCACACCTTCCTGTGTTCAATCAGCTGCTGTGTCTTTGAAATGAGGAGAACATCTGCTTGTTCTGCTCTGGATGCTTCTGGGTGTTTTTTTTTTTTTTTTTACAGATGGGTCAGTAATTGCATTTGTCATGTTTGCGTCATCATAACACAGAGTCTGGTCGCTGCTGTCAGAGCCTGATTTATGGCCTCTGTCCTGAGCGCGCCTCTCAGATCCTCTCCTAACATTTGCTCAGCGGGTTTAAACTGCTTCCCGTTGGGAGAGGGAAGCCTCACTATGAGGGCAGCTCTGCTTTCCTTTCTCTGATTTGGCTTGTGACAGAGGATGAGTCCTCCTTGTCATGTGGGCTCATCAAACACACGAGGAGGCGTGATGACAAATTGGATGCTGATCATGTATGTTTGTGTAAATATGCAGAATTGTGTGTTCACACCCATGTGCAGCGACTTCAACACTGATTTTGATGTTTTGACTTCCCACTGAGGACAGGGAGTGCTGCTTGGGAAGAAAAAAAACAAAGAGCAGTTGTCTCTCTACTCAAACCATGTGATGAATTACATAATTTATTTGTAGGATCACAGAACAGATTAAAGTTTATGAAAATTTGAGTGAAGCCTAATATTAATGGGTTTATGTGTTTGTTTAAGAAGCATTGAGTCAGTCTAAAGGCCATGTCACATTATAATGTTTCAGACAACTCATACGTTTTAACTGGAAGCCTCTTCTAGGAGTGTGCTTACTGTAATGCAAATAAACTGATAAAATATATAACTTTTATTAGTAATTTAGTGGAAATTTTGTTTTCATAAGTTGGCACAAGTTATCTAAAATGTCATAGTGTGACGGGGCCTTAAGGGACGCAGTAATGTCCATTTCCAGCTTTAGTCTGAAATACAGTACCTCACAGTGACCCACAGATTCGTGCTGCACACATAAAACTTTACACTAATATCAGCTTAGGAGTTCAAATCAAGAGAAAAATGTCTTTTTTTAAAATGCTCCCTTTCACTGCCACTCAGAGTTTTGAACAATGTTGTATGAAGTACTTCAAAGTGATACTTCAATAAAAGTGCAAGTATTTTACCATAAAATTACCTCGATAAAAGTTAGTTTCCTAAGAATATTACTTGAGTAAAAGTCTCAAAGTGTTTGACATTTAAAGCATCAAAAGTAAATTTCTGATATAAAATGTATTAAGTATTAAGGCAGTAAGAATTTCCAAAATGACTTACTTTGGGAGCTGACGTGCACAAAACATCAAATAAAATCTAAAGGTCATAATTACTGTAAGATTTGATTAAAATGTTCATGTTAAAAAGTTTGGGATACACTATTCTCTCTGTTCCAGCTGCATATATATATGTCATGCTCATCTTCATGGCTACATACATCTGACGTGTCCTGCTGGAGTTCAGTGTGATTTGTGTCAAAACCAGGTGCCATACATCACATACAAACCTGGGTGTTTTAATGATATATTTATACTTCTTATCCAAACAAAATTAAATTCACATTATAAGGGAGGCGTGATTTTTTTTTACAACAAGCTAGACTGAAATAGAAATAACAATGTACAGATAATTGCTTGAAATGTAAGGAGAAGAAGTAAAAATAAGTCTGTTTAATAAATTATGGGTAACCAAAATGTAAACTAAATTAAAGTAACAAAGCATGTGCTTTTGAATGATTTAGTCATTTTTAATCTCATGTTTTTTGGCACATAAAATCTGTGGACATATCTGCAGGTGAACCAAAAGACCACCCTGCTTTGTAATAAAATAAATAAGAAAAAAAATCCTTTAAAAATATCTGAGAAGGGGGTCTCTGCAGAACATGTTGTCCTGTGGGCAGAGACAACCCAAATCATGATATCTTGACCATGCAATTTAATTTGATAAGTTTGCAAAATGGCCAATACTTAAAAAAAATAATAATAACAACAACAATAATAATAATAATAATAATAATAATAATAATAAAATAAAAAAACATTTCCCAGAATCTTCATCCTGTTCTGCGTTTTATCTCTAATTTGAACAGTCATCACTTTTCCATCTCTGACCATCTCTCCTTTTTTCTTTTCCCCATCAGAACCAGGCATGGCTGGGACATCGTTCCCATACACCTTAATCTGGAAAAGCATCATTTCCAGTCTGCAGACTCAAGTGGAGGTGAAGCACAGACGCCATGCCCTGAAGTCGTACCACGACTGCTTCCTGGGGTCAGAGGCCGTGGACGTGGTGCTGACCCACATCAACGAGAGTCGCTTCTTCGGCGATGAGGCGGTGCCTCGCTACAAGGCGGTCCATCTATGTCGCGTCCTCATGGACTCCAGGGTGTTTGAGCCTGTGGGCGTCAAAGGGTTCGGGAAGGAAAAGAAGAAAGGGAGGTTTGAGGACAGCAGTGGCAGTTTGTACAGATTCTTGAGTCCAGAGATCACCACCTCATCGGCAGCGACTGACAACAATTCCCCAACGGCAGCTACCAACGGAAGACGCCGTGGAAAACAAACCAAACAAAACCAGAACAAGAACAATTATACTCAGTCACATGAAAGGTACACCCGTTTTTCTTATCATATGACATGAAAGATAAAAAACAAAAGAATCACAATAGTTAAAAAAGGCTACAAATGTGACAAAACGGCTTCAGACGTGGAGACAAATGCCATGCTTGTTTATGATTTGTTTTTTTTAGGTAGTTTTAATTGAAACATCTAAAACATCTAAACAATCAGACTCAGAGCTGTTCTGACAGGGGAAATGTGCACAGCAGGGAACTCTGAAACATCAAGAATCCTTCAAAAAGACAGTGACAGATAATCTGGCAACAACCGGAGGCTGAATGATTAAAGTTATTTACAGTTTCGGCAATAAATCTTTCTTCCATCGTCTCCACTGATTGCTCTCATCCTGTGACTCCTCAGTGAAGAGATACGGATTTATTCCACCCACTCCCCGGTGAGAAGAGGCAAATTACTGGAGGACGTGTTGGAAAACCTGGACCTCAACTCCACCATCACTCCTCAAATGATCCGGCTCGGCCTCTCTCAGGAGTGTAAGTTGTCCAGATGCTAAAGCGGGACATGGTTTGAATTGGTGGTGTTGTGCAGTAAATGTATGGCGTTTTGTTTTGTGATGTCATCAGGTCTGTGTGAAGTCTGGCACCAGCAGACTGTGTCCAGGCTGCTGCAGCTCATTGAGCTCCCCCTGTTGGAGGACTTGTTGGACGGAGAGGCCCCGTCTCGAACTGCCCTGCATGACACAGCCGGTGATCCGGACCTGTCGTATTCATCAAGTTACCTGGACAGAGAGGTTCTGAAAGCCTTCAGTGAAGCACAGTAAGTCTTATAAATTATGTCACTTGCAAAAATGTCCTGATTCGACTCCAGCCTTTGCTCCAGTGTTTCTCTCCTTGATGCTTTGCACATGTTGGAAATTCTTCACACCCGTGTGAAGATGTGGACAGTGATTTTTTTCTTTTTTCTTACTGAAAGTGACAAAAGACCCCTAACTTGTGTTAGTCTTGTTGGCATCAGAATTTATTTAGAAACTTTCTCATTTATGATTGGAAAAAAATATATTTTCAACAGCAAATATAATAAATAAATTCAGTAAAAATGGAGTCAACATAATATCATAAATTAGTATTTAATAATTCTAAACTGGTTACTCCATTTCTCATTTAGTGCATTAACATTTTACCAATGAGAAGCTGTTGTTTTTTGCAGAAATGTATGGTTCACAATCCATGTTTAAGAGCACACATTCTGTTGCTCATTTATGTTTTCTATGGAGGACTAAAACTGACATAATTAAAAATAAAAGCAGAAATACTGTATATAAATGGCTTGATAGATAAATAAATAAATAAGTAAACAACTAAAAAAATAACAAATAAATAAATGCACCAACTAAATAAAAAAGTAGAACTTTACCTCAAGTTTTATAATTTAATAATTTCATATTTAGTTTTCCAGCTTAGTTC